GAGGAGGAAAACTCGGAAGAGATTGCGCATATCGAAACCCCCCTCCCCTTTTCTTATTAGCTTTGGTTTCCTACTTCTGTATCAAACTTTACCAGTCTTTTACTCCATTTATATTATCTGGGATGCTCCCGCGTTGTATCGTCTAGATCAAGCGTTCATCTGGCCGAACTCTGCACCGCTTGAAATTTTGCGATTCTCGTCAAAGCGCACAACACTTTTTATGCCCTCCGAACGATGCCCTCTTCGTGTCCCCTCCCCTCATTCCCCTTCAACCTTACTTCCCTCCCAGTGCACTTTTAGAGCAAATCAAATAGGCAGGCATGCAAGCAGCAGGGCCGTTGCACGCTGACACGTCTCATGCATTGCCCTTCGACACACTTTGTCTCTTCGATACTCTGCGAACGCGAGTTGCACGTACATCGCTTGCGCGCAACCTACGAGATTTTTCCTGCCCGCAAGTCAGTCCCAGCCACATTATTTCAGGCAAAATTGATTATCGAAGAGAGCGGAACAACGGCAACTTTTAGTGGAACAACAGCTAGCACCAGTGTTTTTGGCAAACTGTGTACTACAATCAAGCACTATACCCTTCCAAACGCTTTGGAAAGGGACGACTTCAGAAATGCATCCGACGAGTGGCAGCGGCCGACCGGGGCAGCGGAAGATCTCGAGGCTATCGATGTACCACTGGCAGACGGTAAGAGCTTGAAACCCCCGACAATTAGCCAAGCTCGCACGAAGAATGTTTTTCAGCTGCAATAAGCAAATCTAGTAGGCCAGGAAATTTCCCTCACTCACAGTGAGATACAACTTCTAAAATCTGACCAAAAGCAAAGCCCTATTATTACCAGACGATAGTATAGTGTGAAACAAGACACCAATACACCTGTCGCAATGCTGCAAGATCAGTGCTCGATAATTTTATTCTCGAAACACAGCACACAACAGAACTGTTGTTGTACGTTATAACAACAGCGGAACGAAGCACCCGCCCAAGCGAACCAACAAAATGCACTCACTCGCATAGCTATGAGGGGAAAAACTGACAAATCAACAAGCAAACCTACCCACAGCCGATTTTATTGCTCCCAGTCTGGACAACACAACAAGCCAGGACTTCCGGATTCCACTGCTTACACTTAGTCTAGAGTCCATACTTAGTGGACTACACTTAGTCCATTGTCTACACCGGCCAGCCTGGAGCGAGAATGTATTTTTGCTCCGCTTTTTACGCAGGTTTTTTTCCCCACAATATGCGCTTTTGCTCGCTGCAGCAGCTGCACAGCAAAAACGCATAAAAATCAACGTCCCCTTAACTTCTGCACAAGGTTGCACAGCTCAGATCACTGAATTTGCTCGGCTCTTCGTCTGCACGTGCTGGTTCAGTTACCAAATCTTTGCTAACCAGGCACTACCGGAAGAAGAGGGAGTTGGAAGTGTCCAGCACACTTTCACATTACTGCTAACCATAAAATACGTAAAAAAGCAAATTACTGGTGGTATTAAGAATAACAATAGAAACGACAAGCACTGGATAAACGCTAAAACTATGCAGTTAAAAGAATGGAACTCAGTGCTAAAGGACTACAAGTCGCAGCAAAAACTCTTGAAACTGCGTTTAAAAGTTCGAAACCTGCAGCAGTCGGAGATAAAATCATGCTATACTATCTAGTACATTACAAGAATTTGGTCCGGATACAAAAATGAGGTCAAGTAGCTACTTCCCTTGCGAATTCAGAAACATTACCG